TTAATCTTATGAGGATATTGATTTTTAAATTTTTCTTGCAATATCTTTGGTATTGGTATCAGGATAATGTTGGCCTTATAGAACAAGTTGAGAAGTGTATTCCTATTTGAACCAGTTTGTATCAGAATTGGTATTTTTTCTTTAAATGTTTGGTAGAATTTACCAGTGAAGCTATTTGGGTCTGTATATTTTTTGTGTGAAGGTTCTTAATTACAAATTTAATTTCTTTAATAGATCTAGGGCTATTCAGGTTATCTGTTTCTTCTTGAGTGAGTTTTGGTAGTTTGTATTTTTCAAGGAATTTCAGCGATGTTGTCAAATTTATTGCAAAAATTTTAATGGTCTGACCTTTTAATATCTGTAGAATTTGTAGTCATTTTACCTCTCTTATTCCCTAATATTGATCATTTGTTTCTTATCTCCTTTTTACTGATCAGGCTGACTAGAGGTATATCAATTTTATTGATCTTCTCAAGTGAACTAGTATTGCGTTTCATTGATCTTATTGTTTCCTTGTTCAGGGATTTCTGCTCTGATCTTGATCGTTTTCCTTCCTTCCTTCCTTCCTTCCCTCCCTCCCTCCCTCCCTCTCTTTTCCCCTTCCTCCCCCTCCCTCCTCCGTCCCTTCCTCCCTCCCTTCCTTTTTTGTCTTTGCATTTAATTTGCACTTCCTTTTTCCAGTTTTGTAGGTGGAAGCTGAAATCATTAATGGGAGTTCTTTCTTTTTTTCTTACGTAGGCGTTTAGTGCTATAAATTTCCTGCTATGTGCTGCTTTAGTGGCATACCCCAATTTTGATATGTTGTTTTCATTTTTACTCAATTCAGAGTACTTTGTAATTTCCCTTTTGATTTCTTCTTTGACCCATAAGTTATTTAGACATATATTTAGTTTCCAAGTATTGGGGGATTTTCCAAATACTTTCTGTGTTGCTGGACTCTCTTTAGATTTATTGAGACTTGTTTTATGGCCCAGTTTTATGGTAAGTGTTCTCTGCATTTGAGAACAATGTGTATCCTGCTGTTGTTGGGTGGAGGGTTCTAGAAATGTCAGATCCAGATGGTTGACAGCGATATTCACTTTTTCTGTGTTTTCGCTGATTTTCTGTATACTAGTTTTATCAATTACTGAGAGGAATGTTAAAAGTCTCCAATTATGATTGTGGATTTGTCTATTCCTCTTTTCAGTTCTGTTAGTTTTTACCTGCTGCCTGTTTAAGCTGTGTTATCTGCTACATGCACATTTAGGGCTCTTATGTCCTCTTGGTGAACCCATGGTTGCGTATTCTCTTTTTTTTCCCCCTGGTAATTTTCTTTGCTCCAAAGTCTACTTTGTCTGATATTCCTATAGCTACTTGAGCTTTCTTTTGATTAGTGTTTTGACATGGTATATGTTTTTCTGTCCTTTTAATTATTGTTTACTTGAATGACTTTTTCATTAGGCTTGACTAAGAGTGAATGGTTGCCAGGAAGTTTTCTTACAAGTTTTGAACCGTTTTTATATGGAATGACAAAATATGCCATCCTTTTTCTCATCGCTTTCTTCCCTTGCTGAATCTGCCCATTTTCAGTTTGATCTCTCCTGCTTCCTATGAGGATTCCGCCTGTCATGCTGACACCACCCCTCTCCAGTGTTTGCTGTGGACCTGCTGTATGTTAAGCTCTGTTCAAGGTGCTGGGGATATAGCAACAAAGTCCTTCTTAGGGCAGTTAGTTTTAGTGGAGTGGGATAGACTGTAAACAAACATATACATGACGTCAGTGGTGATAAAGTGCTAATAAAGTGCTACGGGGGGGGGGGGGGGGGGGGGAGGGAAGCATTGGGTGAGGGACTCGAGGGACATAGAGGAATGAGGCTTGGTGGGTGCGGCAAGGAGGGTGTCGCCTTAGGAGAGGTGGTCAAAGAAAGCCTCTGTGACAAACGCAACCTTCGGGCAGAGGCGTGGTGGAAGTGACGGAGGAGCGACCAGGAACTTGGGGGAAGAACATTTCTGGTAGAGAGAACGGGGATGAAAGACCTCGGACGGGAATCTGCTGGGGAGAAGCGCGTGGCTAAAACCAAGTGAGTGAGGTCAGCAGGTCATCTGCTGGCACATGGCAGAATTCTGCATACTGCCCTGCAAATGCCCTTTAACGACACCGCGGTCCACCCCAAACTGCACAAGCGAGGCCTGAACCCTTAGAGCTGAGAGGAGGGGCAGGCCGGGAGTGAAGACGCCGCTCCCATTGGGTTATCTAGCCAAGCTGAGGCAGGTGCTGCTCTTTTAAGAGCAGTGAGCTGCAGGACGTGCCCATCTGTACTAGTCTGGTCTGAGTAGATGAATGTTCAGTTCTTTCTCTCACCCAAGATTCAGATAATTTTCTTGTTTTTTCCCCTCTATAGCACACAAAAGTTCAGGACCCCAGAAAGAGATCAGAGGCGAGAGACTAGGGCGTTACAGATTGACAGAGGCGTGGTCCCCACTGACGCTCCCCCACAGGACTCTCCTTTTCTGGGGAAGGCACAGGTGACTCAATGGCTGCACCTTCAGAAAGGTGCCCTGTTTCTCAGCCAGGGCCTCCCCTATAATACTACCCACTCTGCACCCCCCCACTACAAGCTCAAATCCCAAAGATTTGGGGAGTCCCAGGGACTGGGATTTTATCAGCACGAATAAATGGTGTTCATGTATAAAAACCAGGAGTAGCCTCACCCTGAGAGGCACTTCACTAGACTTCACTGTACTTGCCCTAAGCGTGGCTCTTCTGAGGCCAGGTTCCCTTCTCGCTGGGGTTTACTTGTCCAGGACAGCCTTCCTCTGTTGCAGCTCGGTCTGACCTGGGTCATTCTGGGGCCTTTCTGCACATAGACGAGGCCTCACCAGGAACAGTTTCAAGGGCTTAACTTGTCTCGGGCTTGGTCTTGGAGAGAAATATTTTATTCTCAGCTGCAAATGCAGAAAACATGAATCGCTAATGTGAAAAATGGGCATTCCTTAAAATATGGTTTGTATTTCAGTGTAAGTTTTCTTGTTATATGGTTAAAGAGGAAAATCATTTGAACTACAATTGATAATTTGGTTATCTTCCATCCTGCTTTTAGGTGTGTGCATCCAGAAAACAATTGCTTCTTTTTGGTTGTTGTTGGTGCTCAGTAACATACCATATTTATGTATGTATGTATGTATGTATGTATGTATGTATGTATGTATCTTTTGACACCCTCAGCCATTTCTCTCACCCCCACCCCAACCCCTGCCCCTGGTGACCACCAATCTGTTCTTTGTATCTATGAGCTTGTTTTTTTTAGATTCCATATAAAAGACCATACAGCATTTGTCTTTCTCTGACTTATTTCACTTAGTATATAGTGCCCTTGAAGTCCATCCATGTTGATGCAAATGACAAAGTTTCATTCTTTTTTATGGCTGAATAATATTCATGTGTGTGTGTGTGTGTGTGTGTGTGTGTGTGTGTGTGTGTGTACCACAATTTCTTTGTGATATTCAGCAATGAGGTACGTAGCACTTTTTCTAGGATGAGTTCACGAACTTAATTTCTTTATGCATTCATCCATCAATGGACACTTAAATTGCTTTCATATCTTGGCTATTGTAAATAATGCTGCAGTGAACGTGGGGGTGCATATATCTTTTTGACTTAGTGTTTTTATTTTCTTTGGATAAGTACCCAGAGTACTTCTATTTTTAATTTTTTGAGGACCCTGCATACTATTTTCCATAGTGGCTGCACCAGTTTACATTCCCACTAAGAGTGCATGAATGTCCTCTTCTCCACATCCTCAGCCTCTTGTTATTTCTTCTTTTTGATAATAACCATTCTAACAGGTGTGAGGTAAGTCTCTCATTGTGGTTTTGCTTTGCTTTCCTTGATGATTAATGATGTTGAGCATCTTTTCATTCACCCCTTGGCCATCTGTATGTGTTTTTTGGGAAAATGTCTATTCAGATCTGCCCATTTTTAAATCAGATTATTAGATTTTTTTGCTATTGAGTTGTATGAGTTCTTTATATTTTTGAATATTAACCCTTTATCAGATATATGATTTGCAAATATTTTCTCCCATTCAGTAGGTTGCTTTTTCATTTTGTTGATGGTTTCTTTTGCTGTGCATAAGCTTTGTAGTATGATAATAGTCTCACATATTTATTTTTGCTTTTGTTGCTTTTGGTGTCAGATTCCAAAAATCATCTCTAAGACCTATGTCAAGTTGCTTACTGCCTATGTTTTCTTCTAGGAGTTTTATGGTTTCAGGTCTTATAGTCAAATCTTTAATCTATTTTGAGTTAATTTTTTGGTAAAGTGTAAGGTAGTGATAGAGTTTTATTCTTTTCATGTGGCTCTCCTCTTTCCCCAGCACCATTTATTGAAAGGACTGTCCTTTCTCTGTTGAATGTTCTTGGCTCTTTCATTGTAAATTAATTGACTGGATTTGTGTGGGTTTATTTCTGAGTGCTCTTCTGTTCCATTGATGTACGTGTCTGTTTTCATGCCAGTGCCATGCTGTTTTAATTGCTGTAGCTTTGTAATATAGTTTGAAATCAGCGAGTGTGATGCTCTTACCTTTGTTCTTCTTTCTCTAGATTGTTTTGGCTATTAGGGTTTTGTGTGTGTATGGTTCTGTACACATTTTAGGATTATTCTGTGAAAAATGCTACTGGAATTTTGATATATATTGCATTGAATCTAGTGTTTGGGTGGTAGTATGGACATTTTAACAATACGGATTCTTCTAATCCATGAGCATGGAATATCTTTCCATTTATTTGTGTCTTCACCAGCTTCTTTCATTAGAGTCTTACAGTTTTCAATGTACAGGTGTTTTATCTCCTTGGTTAAATTTATTTTTAGGTGTTTTATTTCTTTTGATGGGATTGTATTCTTGAGGATTTTTGCATCTGTGCTCATCAGGGATATTGGCCTGTAATTTTTTTTCATGAGGCATCCTTGTCTAGCTTTGGTATCAGAATGCAGGAATTGACAAATTTTTATTTTATTGCAGGTATTTCTTGGTGGATTTTTATGCACCAACAACAACTGTTGAAAGCATGATGGAGTACTTGTCTCGAGACATTGATGTGATTAGACCGAATATCGTAAAACACCCCCTGACCCAGGAGGTAAAGGAGTGTGAAGGAATTGTTCCAGTCCCACTGGAAGAAAAACTATATTCCACAAAGAAGAGGAAGTGAGAAGATTCACCAGATTTTAGACTTATATTTAATTCTCTCACTGTCAAGCTAGATGGATTACTAATTCACAAGCTTGACCTTTCTATAAGAGTGTGTTAAAAAGTGTGTTACAGGTGCTGCTTGGTTTTCCTAGCTCCTGACTCCCTTTGCTGTGAGAGGTGGGGGAATGGCTTGCCTAGAGCCACCCTGTGTCTGGTGGTAGCAGCACGTCATTCTGTATTTTGTTAAATTAATGTAGCTTCTTTGTCAATGAGGTCTTTTTGCCCTACAACAACACTAACACCGTTTTGAACAACAAAACTTATAAAATGGCCTGGATTGTGAGCTAGTCACTCAGACTGTATAACCATGTGAAATAAAATGTCATTCATACTGTAAAACCATGCACTATTATATAATTTTGATCCGAGTAATAAACATGGTTTTAAAAAACTCCGAGGTGTTTTGTCTCTTCACCTGCCCAGCACAGAACACCACCCGAAAGCCTCGCAGCTCCAGTCTGTCCAGAGTGCCTTCAGTGCGTGGGGCAGGTTACCTGGTTACCAGCCCAAGTTCAGAAACCTGGAGAAGGGCTGGGGGGTGAGGGCGCTGGGGGGGGGGGGTCTGCCCCTTGACTACCGGGCATTCTATAAAATCAGTAACTTCTTTTATCTCACAATAGCTTGTCATTGTGGTGGGTGCTGCTCTGTGTAGAGGGACATGGGTGTTCTGTGGCAGTTGAGCTCTGGCACTGCTTCTTGTCATTCCTTTGCCATTAGCATTTGCCTCCTCCACTGTCCCTTAGTCCTGGCAGACCTCTTTGAGGCAGTAGCCACTTTTGAATTCTGCTTCTGCTGCCTTCTCCCTGCTACCTGATGAGTTGGAAGCCAACTGCTTTTGAGTTGGGGATGCCCAAAGAACTGGCTGGCACCCGTGCCTGTGGCCAGTGGCACACTGAGCTCTTAATTTAGAGGGACTCGTAAGATCTCTCTCTCTCTCAAATTTGAAGCTCATAGATCTATTTTTAAAAAATACGTCCTGGAAATAAAAACAAGTTTGGTTTGGAGAGTTTTTTGTTTTGGCAGGGAAGAGGTTAGGTTTGGGATGTTGTTATATTTTTGAGACTAAGAACCAGCCAGTCTTTGCTTGAAATGGATGTAATTAGGGTTACCATATTTAGCAAATAGAAATGCAAGATACACAGTTAAATTTGAATTTCAGATAAACGGGAAATCATTTTTTCACATAAGTAGGCTCCAAATATTGCATGGAACATGCTTACAGCAAAAAATGACATATTATTTGAAATTCCGTTGACCTGGGTGTGCTGTATTTTATGTGGTAACCTTAGTGTAACACATAAAGGCATACGTGATGCTTAGCCACAGACAAGGTCTGCTCTGCAAAGCCCTTAAGAAGGAGATGAAGCCGGCATCCAGCATCCTGGCTTTTCAACTAACTATATCATTAACAAGGTGAGTTTGAAGAATGTCGGGAGTTATAGGCGAGAGAGAACACAGCTGGCATATTCCAATTTGCCTCAAACTCTTAATTCCCTCAACCCACCAGAAAGCTGATCTAGAAACAAACTGAAATTTCATTCCTGGCCAGTTCCAGATCATCTGTTCTGTGAGCCTGAATTTATACCACAATCTTAGTATCTGTAAGTGCTACCTGCCCTTAAAAAAAAAAAAAAGTCTTTAAAAAGTTCTATATGTGGTTTCTGCCCCCAGTCCTAGGAAGCTGAGGACCCAGGGTGATGGCTTCCATAGTGGGTGCGGATAAGGCTTTTTTCTGGAACAGCCCTCGGCAACTCCTGTCTCCTCAGAGCTGGTGGCTGGGAAGAAACTGACCAGCCCCTTCCACCTTCCCAAGGGGTCCCCTGCACAGGGTGGCTGTCAGCAACCCAGATGACAAAACTATGCATAAAATGTTGGGGCAAGTGCCAATTACAAAGTGGAATCTCTGGTTATATGATTGATACAATCAGATCATGTTAAAACAGGAGGGACCCCCGGAGATGTGGCTTCTGCCTCTTGAACCGTGGTGACAAACAACAGATGTACAACACAGATGCCCCAAGAGCCAGGAAGAGCCCAGTTCCTCACTAACAAGCCAGGGCTGCCTCCCCCTGTGGTGCTGCTGGCCTCGCCCCTGTGATCAGACTTGTCACTTTACTTATTCTCTGAGCCCAGACAGTAGCCAGCTTCAACTCCCTCCAGAGGCAAAAAGCTATAAAAAAGGCTTTGACGAGCAATAGCTCAGTAAAGAGGGCCAAAAAGAACTGTAGACAGGAAATAAAAGGGATAATGTGGAGATGATCTGGGAAAAGATGCTACTTCCTGTTTCGTTAGGAATTTCCTGAAAGCGCAGCATCTCAGCCAGGGCTTGGGAGAGTACACTGTCCTACCACATGGCTTGTATCTTGATGTCCTTTCGTGCTACCTGAGGTACGTTTTCTTTTTTTTAAAGCTTTATTACATGCATACTACATGCCATATGCTATGCTGTCACATCATTTTGTCTGTCACATTATTTATTCCTTTCAGCAGCTCTGAGGGAATATTGTTATTCTTGTTTTTTTGGATGAGGAAACAGACAAGAAGAGAGTTGACCTTGACCCCCCCTAACTACCAAATGACAGCTGGGATCTTGAACTGGAGACCCCAATGCCATGTGGTATTTCCATCCAGTAACAGTGAGCTAGTTTTTGTCCTCTCAGGTTAAACAGGGCACCTGGGTGTCTGGGGTGAGTGACTACGACTCGGATAGTAACATTTGTCCTCGCGGCCTGAGTGTGGTGCTGGCACCACCTTCCCTTGTGTTTGCTAGTTCCGAAGAAGACGATTGGCACCATTGGCATTCCAGGTCATGAAGTGTTCCGAACCCTGTGGCACAGTTTAGAGTGTCAGGAAGGAGGCTGCCTAAGTAGGCCAGCTGTGCAGTGTGCCAGTTCCCCTCCTTGGAAGCGCCAAAATGAAGCCACTGTCCCTTCCCCTGAGGAGCTGATTCACAAATGGACCTTCAGCCACTAAGGGGCCCTTGTCCCCTTGCAGCCCTGTCAGAATGCTGGACGTCGTTAGAGCACAGCATGTATGAGGGCTGACAATTAAGTTTGCGAACTTGTTACAATGATGTTGCTAACCTTTTTTGATATCAGGGATTATTCATTATGAATTTGTACCAACTGGACAAACAGTGAAACAAGTTTACTATTTGGAAGTGCTGAAAAGCCTCATGAAAAAGTCAGATGAAAACAACCTGAACTTTTTGCCAATTCATGGCTCTTGAATCACCACAATGCACCGGCTCACACAGCACTGTCTGTGAGGGAGTTTTTAGCCAGTAAACAACTGTATTGCAACACTCTCCCTATTCACCTGATCTGGCCCCCAATGACTTCTTTCTTTACTCGAAGGTAAAGGAAATATTGAAAGGAAGACATTTTGATGACATTCAGGACATCAAGGGTAATATGATGACAGCTCTGATGGCCATTCCAGAAAAAGAGTTCCAAAATGGCTTTGAAGGGTGGACTAGGCGCTGGCGTCAGTGCATAGCTTCCCAAGGGGAGTACTTCAAAGGTGACCATAGTGATATTCAGCAATGAGGCATGTAGCACTTTTTCTAGGATGAGTTGGCGAACTTAATTGTCCAACCTCGTATGCAGGTCATTCCCTGTGTATTTGCTGTCAGTGCCAAGAGGACTGGGTCCTCCTGCCCAGGCTGGTGGTGGTCCGAAGCGCTGTTTTGGGGGCCCACTCCTTCAGTGGACAATTAAGAGTAAAGTGCTAAAAGTGGAGCAGTGAACAAAGACAGTCCCTGTTGTGGGCTGGTAGCTGGGAAGACAGAGAAATGTGTGGTGCCACATGGAGGATGCTGCAAAGGGGAAGACAGAGGACACGGTCGGTAAGGGACAGTGAAGCTGACCCCGAAAGATAACGAGCCAGTCACGTGGTGTCATGTGATGTTGACAGGGCACAGCATGTGCGGACCCCTTGAGGCCCTGAGCTGGAGCACAGAATGGAGAGGGAGAAAGGGGACATGACAAGGCGTCGAGGGGCCAGGTCTGGGGACCCTCAGGGAATAAACACAGGGATGGGAGTCTGCTGAAGTGCAATGAGCCACAGAAGCACAAGAGGGCAGCTGTCGGGGAAGAGGCAGGTCCTGAGCACACCTTGGGGCTCACGCCCTCGGATTTGCTGCCTTAACTGTGTGTCCACTTTGGACAAGATCAAGCTTCCAGAAGTGCTTTGCTGTCAGCGTGAGGTGGGCTCAGGGAGGTGGAGACCCAGATGGAGGCTGTGGGCTCAAGAAGCTAGTCTCCGGTGCCTCAGAGGCTGCTTCCTGGAGACGTTTACACGTCACAGAAGTGTTCGGCGAGCATCGGAATCAGAGATGATCAAGCCCTGTAACTGGAATGTCAGCAGGGAAGGATCATGCAGCCCAAGTGGGCCTTTTAGATCTTTGCTGAAAGACCAAACTTGGGTTGATTGAGATGAAAAATTTGATTAAAGGATTGGAGGGGTCCGGGGGGCATGAGCTGTGCTTTCATACTTCTGGTTGCGTGTAGGAGACTACTGGTCGACCCCACGTGCCTAGGGATACCGCACATGCTTTCAGGAAAAGCTCAGTGTGGATGTTATTCATTTACACTCCTCACAACTCATGAGGCAAGTTTTATACCCAATTTACAGATGGGGCAGCCAAGGCTCAGAAAATAAGACTTGTCCAAGGCTACAAAGGGAGGAGTTGGGATTAACGATGTGAAAGCCCACTTTTGGCCCCCTGCACCCTTCTGGAGGTGGGCACTGCCAGTCTCTGCAGCTCAGGTCGTGCTCTGAGGGGCCGGCTCTGAGCATCCTACACCCCGGCCCTTCCTGTCTTGGTCCCAGACCGAGGCCCAGGCTTCATCGCTGTCGGAGGGGAGAGGATCTGGGCTTCCTCGGGAGTGTTTTTAATATCCGGTCTTCAAAGGGGTGTCCTGAGAACAACAGAAGAACACGTTGATGTACCTTGGAGACCAGGCCTACTTCGGGCACATTTTCCCCTGCCCCAGGGGTGTGTTTATAGAGCACACACACGGCAGGTGCTGCCCTAGGCAGGATACAAAGACGGAGTGGGCAGTGTCCCTGACCTCAAGGCTCTCACAGGTGGGGGAGAAGGAAGTACTCAGCTATCTGAAAACAGGCCATAATAAAAATAATTGAGATTCCAACCAAGTGCTATGGAAACGGAGAAGGACTCGTTAGAACTTGGACTGGGGGCGGGGGCGGTTTCCAGCAGAGATGGTGTTAAAGCAGGCATGGGAACAGCTAGTTTGGACCATGGGTGGAGGGATGGGAGATGGCACAAGTGCGTGGTGTGCTGGTGGCAAGGAGCTTAGCGTGCAGGAGAGACTGGGGTTCAGGGGGCATCCAAGTTGCCATCGTTATGGCTGCTAAGTGTTTCTTG